TGTTCTTTGAAGCCGCTGCGAACGCGCTGAGCTCAACCTCTTCACCATAGGTAAATATAGTCGAACCCGTCCAAAAACCTTCTGTTTGCAATTTGGGGTTGTCTGACCACGAATCCATCACCAATGTTGCACCTTCTTCACCACTAACGGCTTGAATCGATGGGCAACCGTGAAACGTAACGTCGTGATCGAACCGTGTAATCCTTTGACCCGAAATGTGCCTACTAAACTCCCCCCCTTCATTCGCAGGGTCGTAGAGCTTCTTGCGAGGCTGCAAATGAAACCGAGTCCAAGTGCGAGTTTCAGGGTCATGGTGCCAATAATCTCGCGTTCGATGCTGTTGGCATGCAGTAGCAAGCTTGGGATCGAAGACATGAGCAAAAGGATGTGCGGATTTGGGGAGACGCACTTGGGAAAACTCCTTGTGATGGCAACCAAAGTACCGATCATAGGCTTCGGGCTCGCCGATGTCGACGGCTGACTTGATAAGCTCCCATCCCTTGGAAAGGTGCTCCTTTGGCCCGGCCAATTTGAAATCATCCACGTATACAACCAAAAGAAGTCGGAGTTCCTGGTGGTAGAACATGCTCTGCCAGACATCAGGCAGGATTTGTGCCCAACCTTTGGAATGAAGCCGACTGTTGAGGCGCTTTTCCCAAATTCCGCCACTGTCGGGATGTCCGTATAGTGCCAATACGAGGGGTACCACAGGGTTTTGGTATTTGCCCTCCCAGGTCTTTGGCCACCTATTACGCGGAAGAGAAATCCATGTGGGCACCCCAGTGAAGAGGGCCTGGACATAAGCTTGAACAGCGTCCGCCTGCTGTTTGCCAAAACCTGGCTGACTACCGTAGGCGTCGAGAACCTTTGCGGCTTCCATTGACGCGGGACTTGAGCCCAACTCGCCAAACAAAGCATGGTCAGAGTTTTGGTCCCTGACATGGTTGCCCTCGAAAACCGTTCTTCCTTTGAATTTTCTCAAAGGGTTCCACTCTTCAAGCTCACTGCCCTTCTCGTAGCACGCTTCAAAGATGCGGCCGAGATGGACAGTCTCTCCCTTTTGGTTGGCCTCATTGACAACCTTTCGGCACTCCTGGACACGGACTTCGTCCCATGTGCCCTTGACTCTCAGTCGCTCCCACTCAGCGTCCAACGCCGCCTTGGCCTTCGGGTTTCGAGCAACCTCATCGCGAGAAACGAGCCTGGCAACTGCACAGAAAAGCTCGAAGGCAACTTGGAACTCGATCTGCTTGATACGCTGGGCGACAAGCTCCCTGAGAGGGAGGCGATGCGGCTCTGGTTGATCAAGCACTTTCCGCGGCATTGCAGGTGCTCCAAACATCGTTTTCGGTGTTGGCACGGCTTCCCAGCTAGTGCTCAAGGTTGTGGCACTAGGGCTTCGGCTTGAACCGAGCTGGGAAGGAGTCGCTGGACTTGTGGTCTTTGGACCTGGACCTTTGCTGGAGGATGACTTTGCTTCGTCCATTTCTTTCAACAGCTTGGCACGGTCTTTTGGACCAAGTGTCTTCCAATAGTCTGATGGAATGTCCTTCGGACGTTTGCTGCCTTTGTACGTCTTTACCACACGAAGACCGTCCCAGTGGTAACCTTCAGGAATAGGGACCCCGGCCGGCGTAGTGTCGGGCTTGTAGTCCTCAGCCTTGTCTGCTGCAGTGACTTCGAGTTCGGGTTCCTCACCCCCCTGTTCGGGTACCCCCTCTGGTGCTTCGGACGGCGTGTACTCTGCAAGGTCAGCATCCGCTAATGGAATCGGATTGGGAGATTCGATGAGATTGAGCTTTGGGTCATCAGGGATAGCTTCCTTTCGATCTTGTTTGACGCGCAACGGAAAACTAAATCCACCTGGTAGGAGCTCGATTTTCTTTGTCCTCTGGGTCGTCAAACTGTTGTGTTCAACATGATAATCTAGTGCTTCCAACTTAGCGACTAGATACTCCCCGCGCCATTTGTGTCCGGCTGCACATGATAACCAAGAAACACACCTTCCACCGATGTGGGTGACAGCTTTCCTGCTGTGTTGTCGGCACGATTGGGGTTGTTCCAGAACAGGACTCTTGCACCAAACGGGATGGCCATACCTTCGAACATCTCTCCGAAACGCAATTCCCATGGGCTTGGAGATGAGTCCAGCTGGTCACTCGTGTTTGTCGCCATGGCAAAATGCTGAATGGCGAGTGGCCAGTACTGAAGAGGCATACCCGACTGAACAAGGTTGGTGCGTGCTCCCTCAAGCATATTTCTGACTTCCCTTTCAATGAAGCTCTTTGAGGAGTCCACATACTCAACGGAGGTTTGGTGACGATACCCTAACTCCTTGATACCAGCGATCAACTCACGGGAATTGTCGGTGTAAATGACCTCAACTGCATCATCCGGGGCAACAAAATGCTGTAGCGCAACCACTACCTCATCCGAACTTTTGGATTGAGCTGGGTAAATACTCCGGAACTTTGTATGCAGGTCTTTCACAACCAATGCTACCCGTTCACCACGACTCCCCTCTTCGATGTTCGCACGCACGACGACGTGATCAGCGATCAAATGGTCACCGAATGCCTTTGTCTGGATGCGGCTCTCACCCCCTTTCTTCCGCGCCTGTGGTGCAAGCATCCTTGCTCGCTGGCATACTTTGCAGAATGGGTTCTTGGGGAAGTGGTGAAACTGGTGTTTTGCAGACTGTGCCTCACGCATCAAGTCTCCAACTTTTCACGATCGCACCAGACGGCTTTCTTCATCATCTGGCACTTCTTCATCAATGCCCTCGTCCTCTTTCTTGTCCGATGGGCTCGAGACTGCTCCCGGCAACGCAAACAACTTCTTCAGGGGTTTATCCTTCTTGAACTTACCCTTTCCAAAGACTTTGCAATCGGAGTCGAGGACTGGGACATGACCATCAACACGAAGTTGAACGATTTTCTCGTCTGGTCGAACCAAGATCGGCGTACCGTTCGCTGGCCACACAAAACTGTACCCTTGGTCGAGGCATTTGATGCCAACTGAAAGCGCAGCGGGGCATTCATCCAGCAAATACGGTGTGCAGGGTTCCAGTAGCTGCTTCATCTGAACATCAGCTACTTCACTAGCTTCGGTCGATCCGTTCGCAGCGATCAAACTGATGGTGTGAGGGGCCCTTCTGGGGTTCTCTGCACCAGCAGCATCCATGTTCTTCCTGCTGAGGAGGTCTTGCTCGCTCCCTGAATCGACCAGCCACGAGAACCTGCCCTCTCTTGGTGCCGGACTAGCAACGATAGTCGGAATGGTGGTAGGACATGTTTTCAACTCTCATCCGACGCTCTTTGAGTGAGTGACTTGACCAGTTCAATCACCTGCTCAGAGGTGATGGCACCTGACGAAGCTGGCTTATGGGGCTCACGAATTGAGGGTGCAGGGCTGTGAAATATGTGTGTCGGTGTCTTGCCGCCATCTGCTGCAGTACCTCCGTGAACTGGAAGCACGGGCTTGATAGGAGCGACTGCCCCTGATGGGGCATCACCGGTGATGGTGGCTGTTGGCACTTTAGGTCCAAACAACCCACTCAAACGTGCACTAGCCTCTGCCGCAATGGTCTCCAGAGGATTTTTCCTCTTCGTGTCGTCATGTCTAGGCGTAGACACTGGTGTATTGACAACACTTGTTGGACGGTACTCTAGTTCCGGTTCAGCGTGTGTTTTAGACCTGAGGTCATCGAGCATTTGCTGCAGACTATAATTTTCGTTTTCCGCGTCATGTAGCTCGCGTCGAAGCTGAGTCTCTCGCTCATCAAACTCTGCACGAAGCGTTGCCACCCCTTGCTCGGCACTGCTGGTGATGGCAGAGACGGTTTGTTGACATTCGTGCGTGAGCTGGATGCGCAAGGAATCCAATTCTGCTTTCTTGGCTTCAGCCTCGATCGACCTCTCACTCTCTAGCTTGAGGATTCGTGCTCTAGCAGCACTAAGTTCCCCTTGCGCTTGGTTGTAGCTAGATTGAGCCTGATGCTTTACCGAACTAAGTTCCTCATGATGCTTGCTCGCTACTTCATCCATTGCTTGACGAAACTTGGTTTTCACCATGTTCAACCATTGTCCCATTATTTCTTTGTGCCTTCTCTCTGCCTCAGCAATAATAGCATCTTCATTACCATTGTACACTTGTTGGATATTCTGTTGCACAAACTGAAAATAAGCTGTGACAGGTGCTGAACCCATGGGGTCATCTAGATCCACCGTGGGCTCAGTCGTGAGACCGGCTGGGACTGCGACCGATGATGTACTGTTCCCGGGAATAGCAATAGCGTCCATGGCTGTGGTTAGAGCACTACGGCTGATAACCTATAGAAACAGCCGTTGAGCTACGATACCCTTTTTGGACCGCGAGCTGCAGAGATAGTGCAATGACATCCTATACATACATATTACATGGAGTGAAAATACAAATACTACACTGCAAACATAGGAGCGTGCCCCAGTCTAAAAGTCTTTAAGCGTCAAGCAAGGTGGGCTGTGCGGGGCTCTGATGCAGCACCGGCCTGTCAAGGCACTCCACTGTGGAACTACAAGTCTCTAGCCATCTAGAAGTGCAAAACTCAAACCAAATGCTAGGAACAAAATCTTGCATCGCGTTCTCGCTTAAGAAGAGGTGTTGGATTGAAGCAGTGCATGCCTCTACCAAGGCATCAACTCCACATTGTCGCAGCTCCTGTCTTTAAGCGAACGCAACCGCGTCACTGCTTCATTCAATGCGAGAGCCGAGAGCAAACCTATATTTTTTCAGAACATCCATGATGGGCACTGTTTGATTCAGACTGGACTCCTGGACGACAGCCCTGTACACTGTACACTGTACAAACTTGAGAGGCGGGGCGACACGACGATCGCGAAAACACCTTTAAAATAATCCCCTGAGATGATGTTTGTGATGTCGTGTCCCTTCGAGGGGTCTTCAATTCGTTAACGGGGGGGAGGGGGCGTGATCTATTGATTCACTTCACACGAAGTGGCGGGGGTGGGGCGATTGTAGTGATTTTTCAATTGATCCCTTCGATTTTGGCCCATCTAATCGTAAACTAGAATTTCAGCTGACCTCCTTCGGAGATCACTTTCGTGAGTAGCTGGATAGCCATCATATGAAAGGTGTGGCATGCGAGTCTGGAGCCGTCCAACCTCCTTTTCTTGCATCATGGTCCGGCAGGCTATCAGTAACAAGAAGCTACTAGGGCTCCAGGCATCACTACTAGGAGCAAGGACGCTACTAGGGGCTTGGCCACACTACTAGGAGCAAGAAGCTACTAGTAACAAGAAGCTACTAGGTATGAAAATCAATTTTGCTCAAATCCATTCTGATGGTCACCGTGCACATTGGGCACGTGGCCTCGGCGTGGTGGGATCACAAAATCTGCGCAACACATGCTGCATGAAAGCAATGCCCACAGTTCACCAACTTCACCCCAGCATCTGCTGGCACAAAGCCAGGACATTGCATTGCGGCAAGGCGTTCCAAGCAAACCGGACAAATGCCATCGTTCCAGGCTGCCACAGCCTTCGGTTGTTTCGGCCTTGAACATGCCACGCACCCCAACTCTTTGCGCCTTCTTCTCGACTCTGCTATTATTGACCTGAACTTTTGTAGGGCATCCTGAAATTCACTTGCCAGAATTGCCTCCACCACGACAGAATCAGCGGGAGGGATTGCAAAGAGGTATATTTTGCAGATTGAATTCCATGTTGAGTTTGAAGCTTGGGGATCAACAATGCACCCCTTGTCGCCCTTGTCGGCCAGCTGGCATCCCAAGTCAAGCAAGTGGAAGACGTAATAAGCATTCTCGTTAGATTTGTATGGACCTCTCCATTGGTCCAGAACACGTTGAAACTTGCGCCAGGTAAATTCCGCCAAGCACACCACAGAGTTCTCCAGGGCATCAAGATCGAGCTTAAAATTCCGTACCAGATCGTCATCAAGCTCCCTGAATACAAAGCGCGAGGGTGTGTTGAGGCAAGTTAACATAGTGAGATCCATTGCCTTCAATTTCTCAGGAAAGTCTCTCTTGAGTAAGCAAAACAACGCGACCAAGTGCAAGCTGCGAGTCTGGAGTGTCAACTCTGAATTCCCGCTTGGGTTTGTCAACCACGGCAATGAGATCCAAGTCTTTGGCAAATCGTTTGAGAATATATATAGTAGGTCCATGAGCATATAGTCCGACACAATGATCCCAATTCATCTTCAACTCCGAGTAGATCGCCCACACCTCGCTTGACGTCACGACAGCCTCAGGAACGCTTCCATTCCTGGCACCACGACTCTCCCCCCCCGGCAAATGTAGGCGAGCCAGCGGCCAGTGTATGTTCGAGCCAAGGTCTCTGGAGCAGTGCGTAGCAAAAGGTGGCTGGAGAAAACCCTGCATAAAGGCCAGCGCTTAAAAGCTTCAATAGCTCCTGCTCAACCTCTTGAGCTGACAAAACGCCGGCCTCAGCACAAAGAGCCCTCAAACCAACAACCAGCACAGTTTGTTTCATTCATGGAGTAAAGCAAAAATGCAAGCAATGCCGCCAATGACGCGGCCCACCATCAGCCGACACTTGAGAGCAAGCAAAGGCATCCACAAGCCGCTGGCCAATCAAATTATATATAATGCAACTCTCTATGCATAATAACAATATATATATATGTACATACGTACAGTGCATACAAGCTCTTTCGCAATGGCTCAAGCCGTATCCGCCTCAAGCTCGGTGGCTCTTGACCGCTGAGCAGTCCAGCATGGCACTGGTGCATCCAAGAAGGCAGACTCCTTTGGCCAGTTCGTGAAGGGCGAGGGCAAGGATGCGTGGCCAATACCTCGTTTGCACTAGCTGCAATCAGGGATGGATCTGGCGAGGTCGACTTGTTGCTAGGCCACATCTTGCACGTTTCACCCAGCAGGGCGCACAATGGCCGAAGAAGTCCTACCAGCAAGCCTTGGTGAAACCTGCCCCAGGCCTGGCGGGAGGAGGGGAGACAGCAAAGAAGCAGAAGAAGAAAACCAAGGGACCGGAGGCTTTGCATCAGGCCTTGAGGGATCACTGGAAGGAGCTTCCAGTGGCACTCCAGCAGCGAGCTCAATTGCTGGGTTTGGCGCCGCCAGCACCTGATCTTCCGACCTTGCTTCAAGAGCATTTGCAGAGCTTGCCGCCTGAGGTGAAGCAAGCAGTTGAGAAAGTCATTGAACCGGCCAAGCCTGAACCGACTGTTGCCAACAAACTCAAGAGTTCAGTTGGGTTGTTGAAGCAGCTGTCAACCCGCAAGAGTGCACTGCAGGCAAAGGCTGATGTAGTGAAACAGCAGTATGGTGCTTTGCGTGGGGAGCTCAAAGACCTTAAAACGAAGATTGAAGACGCTCAGAAGGAGCTGCAGCAACATACTGAGACATACAATTTGCAGTTGGAGAAGGTGAAACAACTTGCAGAGAATGAGATCGAAGAGGGAGAACTGACTGAAGAGAAGCTGAACGGCATTTTCCATAGCATAGGCCTCACACCCAATGAGGATCAGTTGAAGGCCTTCACAAAGCAGCTTGCAGAATCCGCCTCGAAAAGAAGGAAGTGCGGGTAACACTGCTCAGGTAGTCAAGCAAGTTGAGAGGATAGCTTCGAATGCTGAAGCAGAAGGGGTTTGCGGCAGAAGCCAACTTTTGTGCAAGTTTTTGGGCATCAAGAGGAAACTGATGTGATGAAAGCTTGCTGTGTTCCTATAGGCTCAAGACAAACTTTAGCTGTGGACGGGGCCGGTTTTTGAAGGGCACTCGAACACCCAAGGACAGCCCTGGGTGTCCATCAAAGGGGGCATGACAATTGATTTGCTCGGTGGCGAACATGACGTCACTGCACCATCTGTGGAAGAAGAGCCCTGGGATACAACCCATGACATATCTTGCACAAAATCTCCAGTGCAGGCTGGGGAAACCTCGCAACAGATGCTTTGCGAACTCTCCATTTCGACTCTGGAGCTGGGCTGGAACTTTGGTGGGAGGCACGAAACTCTGGAAACACACCAGCAGGGCGGCGCAGGCTGCCTTGTCTGAAGAAGATGTAGTGGACATCACCCACCTTGCTTCGCTTAGGCCTTTGTGGGAGGTGTATAGTGATCAAGTTCAAGACGACGCATCCAGTTTTTTGGCATCCCTGGTTGATTTGGCTGGCTCTCAAGAGATTGTTGACACGGTTTATCATGTAGACTATCACCAAGTGCAATCCAAGCGGAAGGCGTTCCCGACTCACCTTCTGTACCCAGAAGGGAATGGTCCACAGAGTTTGGAAGTTTTGCTCAACTTATGGGCCAACACGGCTGAAGGGCAGGTCTTTGCAAAAGAAGGCCTGCGGATTGGGCAGATTGGGCGATACCGGCAGCAAGGACTTAGATGGACGAAGCATCGCATGCATTTGGAAGCGCCTTCGACTTTCCACTTGCCTATGTCCTATCATGGAGGGGAATCAACCACAGTGTAATACTCTGTTGTGGGCCTTCTTTGTCATTCCGGGTTGGAGCATGAACAGTGTCATTTCTATGCAGTGCTGATTTATAGGGGATTGGTTTGGCTTGCGGATGATGGCATCTACCCGAAACCGCTGGGGGGCCATTCATGACTCTGTGAAATCACAAATTGTTCAGGTGTGGGCTGTTCCCTCTAAGCTACAACCCTGCTACCTCCCACGGTTTCCAATGAGCTTCACCTTGAAATGGATGTCAATACGGTTGTTGAACCCACATCCACAAGGAGGTCAAGGGCAAGCTGTCAGGTCGTGGTTGCTAACGAGGGACAGAACTCCCTTTCTCATGCTGGAGACTCATGTCGGGCAAGCGGATTTCGAAAAGTTGTCTCAATGGTTTTCTGCAAGGGGTTGGCAAGTCATCGGAGAGGCTGCTGCGGAAAGTGTCAAGGGTGGCACACATGGAGGGCGCATTGCACTTTTTCCTCTTCACATGCATGTTCATTTCCTGCACAAACAGTTCATTGATGGATGTGGGTGGCTTGCTTTGCAATGGTCCTTTCATGATCTTCAGTTGACCTTGAGTCATGGTTTACATGAAGTGTGGAGAGGGCTTGCAAGGACCGACAAATTCCATCCTGTGGTCAGGTTTGATGACCTTTGTGACTGATCTGATTGACCCGGTGATCATAGCAGGTGACTTCAATGTTGCTCCTGAAGAGTTCATGACCACGTCACTGGCAGGGACCATGCAGGTTTCTGATTCGGCAGCTGGCGAACAAACCAGTGAATTGGATTGGGCGCTGGTGTCGAATGAGCTCATAGCTGACATGAGTATCTCTGCCAATTGGGAGGTCCCATACAGACCTCACTGCCAGATGAAGGTGACAGCAGATCCAGAAATACCAACCTCCCCAGGTTGGAACAAATCGCAGTGGGGGAACATGGTGACCTCATCTCCCACCAAGCGGCATCTTTGAGCAACAAGATCGAGAGATATGTCTTGCAGAATTTGACCAATCCAAAGTTGGGCAGGGGCAGTAGACTGGAGCTGATCCAAAGACCGCTCCTGGACGTAACCAAACCTTGGGTCTGGAAGAGAGGTAGCCAATCGTTTTGGGGGCAAGTTGAGGTTCGTTTGCAGCAGTTGGCCCACAACCCGCAGGGATCCCACGGCATTCCAAAGTCTAGAGCGGTTGGGATGGCAATTGCAACAGCATTGGATTGAAGGGATCAGTGGAGAGGAGCATATTCAGGTGCTCCTCCAGCTGGCAGAACACCAAAAGCGGGCTCATGACACTGAAACTGAGGAAGCTCAGGGCAAGGGATGCCGTGGGTTTTTCAGAACCATCAAACGAGATGAGATGCCATACAAGCGATGTCAGAACAAGCCAAGAATTGAAAGAATGCCTCTCAGGTTAGAGCAATGGGGTGCAATTTGGTGGCTCGAGCTGAAACCCTTACAGCTGCCAAGTTTGGAGGAGCTCAAATTGGCTGGTATTCAAGAGGCTATATAGTGAATTTCCAGTGCTCACACCGGAACTTGTTTGGAAGACCATCAGAAGCTTGAGCAACAAAGCACCTTGGATGCTATTGGCTTTGACATGCTGAAGTCTCTCCCATATGCTGCCATGCTTGATTTATCGCAGTTCTAAAAAGCTGTTGAGAAAAGGGGACAGATTCCCTTGCAGTGGCAGAGCAATCTCATTGCCCTCATTGCGAAGAGCGCAGAGATAGAAAGACGCATTGGTTGTGGTGCAAACTTCGTTGGCCCATGCTCAAAAAGTGGGCGAACGGTCCCTGGTACTGAATGCTTGCAAGTTGCACTACGCAGAGCTTTCAGCACCGAGCATCACAAGGCCATGAACAGGACAGTCATTTCCGTTTTGCTGGACTTGAGCAATTTCTATGACCGGATTGATCTGGAGAAATTGTGTGAACGATGCCATCAGGCTGAATACCCTAGTGTAGATGCAGCTTTTACAATGCAGGTTTATCTGGGCTGTCGTATTCTTGAGGCTGAAGGCGAGGCCTCGGCACCAGTGTGGACGAGGAGAGGCATACTGGCTGGTGACCCTCAAGTTCCCCTTGTGGCAAAAGTTTGTTTGCAAAGGGCCATGAGGGCTTTCCAACGGAAATTTCCCATGTTGCATGTTGACCTATGGATTGATGACTGCAGCTTTGATGTGGTTGAGCGCTGTCAACCTGGCGGTCCGGGCTTTTCATCACCTCCGTGAAGAACTGGAGGCAGATGGCTTGGTGATTTCCATCGGGAGAACTGGCTTTGTTGTTTCCAATGCTGAGGCAAAGAGGCTGCTCAAGGATGCACTCCCAGGGGATGGTCCCAAGATTCATGATGTCATGCGTGATTTGGGGTGTGACTGCACTAGTGGAAGATTGAGGAGAGTCATGACTCATGACCATGAAAAACCGTCGCAAGTGGCATGGGTGGGAACATGAGCAATATGATCAGTGGCGGAAGCCTGGTTTCAATGGCTTGCCAGCATGGGAAACTAACCTTTCAGATGCATGGAACAGCACTCGCAAGCAGCTCAAGGAGACCGAGAGGTGGGAAAGAGTGCACCGATTGAATAAACATGCCATGCTGGAAAACATTCAGAGCCCGCTGGACTGGGTTGCCTGGCAGAGACTCAATAGGCTCAATAGGCAGCTAAACAAGAGGGATGCTACGGCCTTGCTCACATGGCATCAGGGTGCTTTGTTTCTCCAGCTGAGTGACAGTCAGCCGCATGGATACCTTCGATGCCCCCATTGTCAGCAGTCAGCTACAGCGGTGCATGTGCTTTGGTTGTGCAAAGAGATCAACTAGCACTTCAAGAAGCTGCCTGATGAGTGGGAGATGGAACTCACACATGGAATGACTCTTGAGTTCTTGTCCCAAGGGTTGGTGTGCCAACCCACCTACCGCATTGACACGGGAGGAGCTTCGGTTGAGACTTGGGGCTCTTGGACAAGGCCTGATGCGCTCCCTGTCAGAAAGG